CGGCACCCTAGCCCGGGCAACACAGTGAGACTCTTGCCCAAAAAAAAAAAAAAAAAAAAAAGAAGTAAAAATAGAGATATCCTGAAACCTGTTAACAACTGCATAGCACCTCACAGCATAAATATACTATAATTTTAACTATTCCTCTTCCAATACGCATTTATGACATTTTTTACTATTTATATTATTGACTTTTTTGGAATAATGCTAAAATGAACATTCTTACAGAATTCACGTGCTCTTATGTTAATATTTATGTAAGATAAACACCTAAAAATGAAATGATTCTATCAAAGAGTATGTATACTTTTAATTTTGATAGGAAACCCCAAATTTCCTTCCAGTTGTACTAATTTATAATCCCAATGACAGAGGAGAGGATTGAAATTCATTTTTAACAAATATTTTTGATTTATGAAAAGATAGGCCCACTTCCAGTTTTTTAATAGTGATATAGAATAGACTGCCAGGTTGATCATAATTATCCTCTAATTTGATAATTATCTGACATATTAAACAAATGTAGACCACAGCTGTATAGTAGATTCTGCTTCCAGTTATGAAACCAACCATGGATGAGATACTTCCCCTATACGAGCCTCTGTTTTCTCATGTAAAAAACATAGGAATTGAACTAGCTGAACTTAAAGAATTAAAACTCCCAATGCTATGATTAAGAAGTGACTTAAAGTTATTACAAGCCTATAATTACAGTATAACAGGTTAGGGTCTTAAAGCTTCTATTTTCTTTAAATTACAATAATTATTGCCAGAGCACCTAGGCAATGAAAATTTCATTTTTTTTAACAAAAATAGTCAATAAAGTTTTTAGGATCCAACTGTGGCTTATTCTCAATGGCTTTTTAATCCCAAACTGTCATTCCCCTGCTACCTAGCAAATCTGAATGTACCTCTGGAGTATACTCCCAAGAGTTGAGATGTACCTAGGAAATAAGAACCAGTTTTTTTGTTTTGTTTTGAAAACTGTATCCTGAGACCCCTCTTTAGTCAATTTATTCAACTAATAATTATTGACTAAATGCTAGGCACTGGGTGCACAATAGTGAATAGAGGATCTCTGCAATCATGGAACTTACAAATCCGATGAGAAAGGCAAATAACCCAAAATACCCACATGTAAAATTACACTTAGGATAACAACGAACAAAAAATCAGTGAAGAGAAAACAACTATGCAATCTTTTGATTATTTTTTTCTTTTTACTGTGACACTGAAAATTGTTTGACATAGGGGAAAAAAGTAAATAAGGAAAATTATTTCACAACTTGCCCCATACTGCAAAAATAACAATCACAATTGTAGGTAACTTTTTAAATCATCAGTTGTCTCTACAATAAAATCACCAAAATGTTACTTCTTTTCAGTGATGCTATTGATCATGAGGCAGGAATATTTGTTTTACATAACCAAAAGTATAAATGATTTGAAGAACCAAAGATGACAGAACTGAGTCTCCAAACACAATGAAAGACAATAAATGAACTACAATTTAATAACCTTATTCAAGAAAAAAATACATAAAGAAGTAAAGTGATCTATTATAATAATTCATGACTTGTTAATAATTAACAAAACGTTATGAAAATACTGTTTTTTAAAGAAC